TATTATTGTGTTTTAAAATTTAGACCCTTAGGGATTTTTCTACGGTCTTTTATCTGGTATTTTTGGCCAGGTCAACAATATCGCAGTAACAGCTAGTTAATGAATGTGGTCATTTGCTATAATAAGGTTTCAAAACATAGGTTTACTAGTCTACACATAAGGTACCTCTGTGAATTTTAATGGTATTAAATAATTCTCAATAAGCAGCCCTTCTTAAGGGTGTCTCACCGAGAACATCGCGTACCTTTACCACTACTGTATGCATGAGGTGATACTCCTAGGGGAATCAAAACTTCTGAAGCAGGTGTTTGTAGTTTGCTAGTCTAACTGGATGACATTGAGGCAATGCTGGTTAAGGCACTTAGTAGGTGCTAGTATTCTAGTCTTCCAAAACCAGTCTATGCATTCAGTCTTCACTGCTACGAAAGTACGTTTATCCTCCTTGGTTTCTCTTTAATAAAATCACTTTTCAGTGTCATTATCCGCAATATTATGGACTTTATTAATTCAGTCACAACTAGATAATGGCTTGATACTTACATGTAGAGAAACTTCATAACACGCCAAACTATGATAATCGTTTATATTCTGATGTTTGCTATAATGAAATGCCTTAACTGGCTGCAAAGTGGTGCTATTGTGGGTCTCTACATTAGGAGTTATATACCTTAATGGTTTTAGAGGTTGTTTAACGCTGCACGTGTGCCTACCTGTATTGCCAAAGAGGGCTGCCGTGTATGCTTTGCATTTATCGCCTGTTATTTGTTCAATGACTTTAAACTACTTAACTATAGATTTCGTCCTTTACAACAATGTAAACAGTATACTGGGAAGTGCTCTATGCATACTAAGCTACATAAAAATGATTTAAAGTGAACATTAGTTTTCAGCCATATCATGTTCCATGTTTACGAGAGTCCATGTATATGACAGGAAAAGAAACCTTTTTTGAGACATAGCTCTCTTAAAAACATTTAAAAATTAATTAACCTAGTTACACTCTTGTATGTAGATAGACAGACAATACCTACGAGTACTTAAATGTACCTATTGTAAATGCGTTTTATAGCCACATGAAATATAAATAGTACACGTAATAGAAATATCTGCGAATAAGTTCAAAACAATGTAATAAGCATTAAATAATTGACAAATGCGTGCTTCCCATTATTGAGGAAAATTCGGTTGGAATGCTGTACGTCATTGTACTAAACGAGGGATTTCTATCTTAAATCTTAAGTTGTTTATTAAGGACAACTAACGTCCCGGTTAATTAACATATAGGTCATTAATATCCTTAGGCATGTAACACTTTATAGCAACATGTCTTTCCTAAACCACTTATAACCTAATATTAGTACCAAAAACCCAACTAAGACAAAAATCGACGCTGAAAAAGTATAAAACAAGATTTTTAGAATACTGAACCGAACAAAGTTGCTAATGTAGTTGCATAGTAATTTTCATGTTTGGAAAACCGCAGTCACACGTTGTCAAAGTGCTACTGTAGGTAGGTATATGTAACGTGTGACTACGCCTTTCCAAACATGAAAATAAATATGCCGTGTTTGGTATCATTTGAAAGCGCTTTACTTGAACATTTTGAATATATATATATATAGATTACTAGCATTTGCTTGTGACTTTACCTGTATTCATGGGCTGATTGCATTTTTTCGTTTTATTATTATTTTTATTTATTATTTTCGTTCATAGCTTCTTTACTACTTATTAGTTCATCAATTTAACTTTTGTTAATATTATGCGCCACAGATACCTACACTTTAACACCAAAATAGTACAAATAATAAAAAGTAAAAAAACTAAAACCCAACTAGGTACGACAAAAAACGACGCTGAAAAAGTATAAAACAAGATTTTTAGAATACTGAACTGAACAAAGTTGCTAATGTAGTTGCATAGTAATTTTCATGTTTGGAAAACCGCAGTCACACGTTGTCAAAGTGCTACGGTAGGTAGGTATATGTAACGTGTGACTACTGCCTTTCCAAACATGAAAATTACTATGCAACTACATTAGCAACTTTGTTCAGTTCAGTATTCTAAAAATCTTGTTTTATACTTTTTCAGCGTCGTTTTTTGTCGTAGTTGGGTTTTAGTTTTTTTACTTTTTATTATATCATAATAATATACAAAACATCTTAGTAGTAACCCTATAAGGAAGTTTGTCCCAAAACTAAAAAAAATACAATTGACTTTAGTTACAATGCATATTTTACAAAAAAATCACCCACAAGAAATTCCGTGAGTCAAATTAATTTTCATCATCGTTTACGGTATCTATAATTCTGACAAATAGAATCATTCAATATGTAATACAGGAAATCTGAGTGAAAAATAATGATAAGGACAAGTCATTGAGTTATAATGTACTACGTAGTAATATTACTTCAATGGGACAAGTAAATAATTTCCTGAAATTATTATGGCAAAGCACAGACATCTAATTACTAGTTACGGGTCCAAAGCATTCACACCTACTAGGCATAAAAAAAAGAAAGCAAGCGAAAGGTCGTGGGTTCGATTACCACCTTAGGCACTTTGATTTTTTCAAGTTATTTGAAATTTAGTTTGAGATGCGACTCTTATCGCTAGAAAACTTTATATCTAAAAAAGAAAACAAACGAACAACCTCGCATAATTTGTACCTTCGTCAATTTTTTGTCGTTAAGTAAGACCAAAAAGTGGGAAAGTAAAAAAAAACAATCTTTTTCTCGTCATTGGTGAAAATTAATGTGTTTTCAATTTACAACGTTTAACGTTGATAATGCATTGATTAATAATAAATTAATTAGCCATTGATTAAAATATTGCTATTTAATAAAGGACATTTTATTAGTTATGAATGGGGATAATTGACTACAATTAAAATCATATTACCTAGTACGTACCTAGATAATATAATATTTGTGATTTTATGTACTCTTGTGTTATACAATACTGTCACTGATTAGACACACAAAAGGAATATAAATTAGGTACCTTCAAGGTTCTAATTCTACATTAATTTTTAACCGACTTCAAAAAGGAGGAGGTTCTATAATTGTAACGAGTTTTAACAAGCTCTAGCGCTCTCAAGTGCGCGAATGTTTGCACAGTTTGTGAATATTTCAAGTAGCAAATCTGGGCAGATGTGAAACGACCCCAGACTATGGGCTGTAGTCTAGACAGGCTCCCAGACGCCACTCGAATGAGGAAGGACAGTAAACTTATAGTGGGGAAATTGTTACAATTTTATGTTAACAGGCTCAATTACTGAAGTTAAGTAACTCGTTAATTGTTTTTTTTTCAGCCGTTTACTTGTTGCATAAAGTAAAAAATATACGCCATAAAGGGTAAGAGACCTGATGGTTTGACTTTGGTTCTATGAAAGATGGGACGGCCACAAGTGTGGGATGCCACCTGCGTAGACACACTGGCACCGTCTCATCTTCCACAAACCTCTATGTAGTACGAGTAGGTCTTAGTAGTACCTACATGGTTGAGCCATTTGGGGTACAGGGAATTAGCCAAGCAGCTGATTGACTGTACAGGTGATGGAAGAGGTGGCGCATTTCTTGGCCAAAGAATCAGTTTGGCCATTCAGCGCGGAAATGCAGCCAGCATTCTGGGCACCATGTCGCGTTGCTTGGACAGTGATTTGGAACATATTTTTTATTTGTAAATATTTAGTTCAATTATGAATAAATTCTTATTCTTTTTATAATGGTAACTTAAAATATTAAATATCTAATCTAATCTTATTATTAATTAATAATATTATCAATTAATTTTGCGCATTAATTTTCTACGTATTTATTTTAAATTTACCGTAAGCAAAGTTAAATTTACCAGCGTATATCTTACAGAATAACTTCATTTTTCACAACTTTTCATCACATATTTTATTAAGTGGCAAGGCTATACTTAAACTCTTAAAACCAAGAGCCATTGTTTTGAGTGTTAATTGTATGCATCGGAACATCGAATTGCAGACTAATAAGTTCCCCCAATTCAAGCACAAAGGCCGCGTATAGAAGCTCTACCGCGAAACAAAGCACGCACGTAAAAACGAAAAGAAATTTTAATCAAACAAAATTGTTCCTTATACACACTTATTGTGCGTCGACAATAATATCCACACAAAGCGGGAGCGGTAGGGTGGCCTTATTTTACGGGAGAAAAAATAAATGTGCGTGAAGATGTTTAGACCGTCTAAATTACTCTAAAATCAGACACAAACTGTGTACTGTCGCCGGGAGATAAGGTGTTTTCTCTGAGTTTGGACCAAGAAACTCTATAAAATACCTATTGATAATAATCTTTGACATGACATAATATTAATTTAAAATTGGATGGGAGGTTTACTACGAAAATAAGTAAATCGTACATTTGTGGGCCAAGTATTTGCCGCTCTCTTTCTCCATTAGATCCAATAATAGCATTATGAGACTGGAATATAACTAAACTATGCTATGGCTTCATTGTTTTATCTTTAAAAGCTTTATCAAAAGAATGCTTGAATTACTAATCTGGGTAAACACAGAATTTGATAAGGACACATTTTACAATAGAATATTTAATAAAAAATACATAATATTTGCCTCGAAAATTTTCTTATAAAATCAGGTAAAAACCTACTCGAAACTCAACTATGCTATGGCCTCATTGTTTTATCTTTAAAAGCTTTATCAAAAGAATGCTTGAATTACTAATCTGGGTAAACACAGAATTTAATAAGGACACATTTTACAATAGAATATTTAATAAAAAATACATAATATTTGCCTCGAAAATTTTCTTATAAAATCAGTAAAAACCTACTTGAAAATCTCAACTCATTTTAAATTAATTAGCGGTGTTTTACTCATCATTTTCCCTGTCATCTGACGTCACCGTTGTAAAACCCGAAGAAATCCTGCCGCAACCGGTCGCGTGGGCACCCCAGGACGGCTGGCGCATGCAGCGTTCACCGTGGCGCGAGTTAGTAGTAGCCCCGCGTGCTCGCGGCGAACCAGTCTCGAGGGCCTACGCGCGCCTCTGCTCATCACGAAACTCCGAACTTACAATTACAAACACCAATTTTACCACTGTGCAAAAAAAAATTACGTGATTCTCACTCAAAAAAGTGTGGTTCCCGAAAAGTTTTAGTGCTTTCAGTGTCAGCTGTGCGTTTTGTCTCTCTCTGTTCCGCGGAAAGGGAAAGGAAGGGATTACGCAGGGCGCGTTGTTTTGTTTTCGTAATACTCGACAAAATAGAGCGGATTCACTAAAAGTAAGTGTGGACCTTTCGTATTTAATTATGTATGCTAAGTCTTAAATATACAAGTCAACAAGTCGTATATCTTATGAGATATTTACTTCACAAATGATTCATTTCAGTATTTTCACGATAAGACAACATAACTTACTCAAAAGCTTTTTGTTTTACTTAAAAAACATAGGTACAACATAATTAAAATTCTATCAACAAAATATTAAAATAAAAGCTCTACATTATGCTGCAGAACATAAAAGCTCTGCTAATTAAATATATTCTTAATTAATACATAGATTAAAAAACTTTTTACTAATAAATATTTCCTTAAAGTTTACTTCAAAGTTCGCAAGAGTGAATAAACTTTTGCCTACGGTGCAGTGCAGAAACCATAGACATTTAATATTGTCTCTACATTGAGTTTTTCTTTTTTCGGTTTCTTCTATACTAATTGTTACTTCAAATATACTAAAACAAACTTCCTATTTCAATAATAAATATCAAAATACAACTTTAAAAGCTCACTAAACATCTAAACTACAGTTTCATGTTTGGTTAGAGTGGCTGGTCATGTGGACGGTTCCAATTAAACGGTTATAAATAGGCACACTTATACTACTTGCGGCTAACTTGCGAACAGTCTACTATACAGACTTTTAGTAGATATAAATATCATGGTAATTTGCACACCAAATTACCGTCTATGTAGAGTAATGACAGTTTCAAATAGTCAATAGAATACTAATTACTAAATGTCTGCTAAGAAATTGTAAGTATTGTTTATTATCTCTGAAATATAAAGTGATGGATTACTCTGTGAAAAGTGTGATGACAATATTTTCACAACATGAAATGTTGAACATAAAATGGCTTGATAGATGATATAGTTCTGACGAGCTGTTAATGTAATAACAACAAATAGATATTAGAAAAATATATTTTTTCTAGTTTTGATAGCGAATTATAGTAAACATTAATATAATTATTACTTCATTCAAACTATTTGTAATACCTACTTATCAAACAAAAAATGTCTTTACGTTAGCGACCGAGACAGACAAAATTGAGCTTTATTGAAGTAGAAGACCCACTTGACTTTAATTGTCCATATACTCTATTACTAGTTTATTACTACTGTAGATAATTATTAATGCTAAAAGCTTTCATAAACATGATTATTACTTGAATCAAATTGAGGAACAGTTTATAAGATTTGCATTAAGTTGACCCACTTTAGCGCTGTCTGTGTTTACGAGTAGTTATTTTGCTTTAGAGACGTCAAAATTGTTTGTTAATCAATATTACTTATGTTTTTGTTTTTGATGTCCCATTAAATTAATATTAGCTAACATAGGTTCACTTTTATTACCTACTGAAAGTTAGTAATGAGATTTTGTATTCGTACAATAACAAAAACGGATAAAATAATAATTAATTTTAACGAAAAACAAGTCCCAGATACCTACTTATAAGGCTAAGGCTATATTAGCTTTTCACAAGTGACTGAATTTTCATGAATCAGCCTAACTGTTCCCAACACATTTCTTTTTAATATTAACATGTGTGCTTACCATGAGTTTACGTTACGTGTGCTCGCTAGCGACTGCGTAAAAAAATGACATTAATTGTATGACATATTGTGCAGCGCCCCTAGCGGCTACTTTCAAGAAACAAAATCTCCATAGAGATTTTTGACGTTTTCGCTAGCGAGCACACCTAACGTAAACTCATGGTAGGTACAATGAACATGTCTCACCAGTTACTTAAAGTTCTTAGAGCAATCTAAGAACGAAACCGGTATACCTGTGTGCCTACCATGAGTTTACGTTAGGTGAGCTCGCTAGCGAATACGTCAAAAAATTCTATGAAGATTTTATTTAATGAAAGTAGCCGCTAGGGGCGCTGCACAATATGCCATACATTTAAATGTCATTTTTTTACGCAGTCGCTAGCGAGCACACCTAACGTAAACTCATGGTAGGCACACTGGTAATCGCGAACTCATTTTCTGTCAAATAGGAACAAAATAAATTATGGATGTATGTTATGCTAACAACACGTGTGTGGAGATTGTAGAGAGTAATGGCCAATTTTTAGCGGTCAAGGACGTCGCTGGTTCGCTATGCTACTCTAACGGTCAATGCCATACATCAATCAAACTTAATAAGTTATATTTATGTCATTTTTTCTTAATAATATGTAGGTATTTCCCTTAAGTAAACATATAGAAAACGTTATTAGAAAGTACTAAAAGCTATCGTGAACTCATCATTCATCATCATCATCATTTCAGCCATAGGACGTCCACTGCTGAACATAGGCCTCCCCCAATGCTTTCCATGTTGATCGATTGGCAGCGGTCTGCGTCCAGCGCTTCCCTGCTACCTTTACGATGTCGTCGGTCCACCTTGTAGGTGGACGTCCCACGCTGCGTTTTCCGGTACGCGGCCTCCATTCCAGAACCTTTCTGCCCCATCGGCCGTCAGTTCTGCGTACTATGTGCCCTGCCCATTGCCACTTCAGCTTGCTAATTCGTGAACTAATGTCAGCGAATAAAATCAGTCAATCATACTAAACATCGTGTGCTGTGTGTACTAATATCACTTTAGTGACACTAGGAAGAAGTTTTGTAGAAAAATCCAAAATCATTTATTTGTAAAAAGCTCATTTTACATAATGCAGATTATTTTATAAATTTTTTCTTTTGTCGTGTGCATTTGGACTGCAACAACTTATTCGTCTTATTATTGAAGTATACAGTTAAATGTAAGGTCGATCCAACGTAATTAATACGAGTATAGTGAATTAAATAGGTATAAAATAATAATAATTAACTTAAATACTGCGTAATTATGACAACATGTTTGATAACTACATATTCCTCCTTGCTTTATTTGTCGTCATTCATTAAACCATACCCACAAATGAAGTACGTTCTTTGTCACACCTTAGACATTTAACATGAACTTTTGGAGTTTGACCCGCGTAGTGAACTCGTATAATTTAATTGGCCAACGTCTGTATTTAGTTTCAGATATATTTTCAGAAAATGAAGACTTACGATACGACTTTTAAAATTAAGACACTATAAATAAAGCTTTTTTGTATTTCAAAAAGCAAATGTTTGTCTATTGAAAAAACAACTGAAAACTGTCTTTACCTGTTTAATTTTCAATTAGATTGTATCAATAAATATTCTGAGGTTATTGACAGTACACAAACACTGTAGGTGAAATAAAATAACAAAATTGAAAAGTGAGATAAAATACTTTACTTAGATAAAAAAATCTTGAAGGAAAAAATATTATTTCTTTCTACTTGTTCCTGTACTGTCATAATAATTTATTATAGTCTAGTTATAGCTGTGTACCTACCTTATGAAGGAAGATTTATGTTAAGGGCAGGAGTTATCTCGCGAACATAATTTAGCGTTCTCCTTATCGAGAGTTAACTTGCAGCGTTATTTTGTCATCGACTTGCGACTGGAGAGGGCTTTGTTATCGTGGATATCCTGTTTTCAATGTTAATGTGCTGTACTTGAATAAGTACTCTACATAGTAAGATCAATTTTGACCTCGCATATTTATTTGATTTCCTCCCTTTCATATAAGCTATGAAGTGTATTTGATTTGATTAAAAATGTAATAAATTACTTTTCTGTTGCAGAAATCGCTTCAATATCTTGTACATACAAGAATATTATAAGTAAAGAGCAAACAATACCACCACCCACGAAGATAGATAACGCAGATCCCGCAGGAGTTAATCTGGCGCATGGAGACAGGAAGCATGTCGGTAGTGCGGCCCTAGAGTACTCCCCTGAGGGACTCCTCGCTCTAACATGCCCAGCTGACAGTATACGCTCCGAGACAATGCCGGCGGCACCAAAACAAACAAATGCAACACCAAATATAAAACCCTGTAAAGAAACATCGACTGAGAATAACATATTAACTTTTTACGTCGTAGCTATTAAAGATAGAAATATGGCCAACGGTAACCATTCCAATGATAATTTAGACGAAATTCACGAAACGACTGATTTAGATAGATGTAGGATAAACGAATATTCCGAAACTCGATGCCTTCCACGATGCGTGTTGCATAAGAAAGGAGTCGTATACGGAAAAGAATCGATTATGAAAAAGCGGGTGGCTGACGTATATGGTGGTGCAAGGAAGGCCGGTGATTTGAATTTTAAATGTGCGCGGGAGTGGCTGGGAGCCTTCGGGAGGACAATGGACGTGTGCGCGCGAGTGGCCCTCGTTGGGATGTTGTTGACGCTGGTAGCGACGAGCGATGCGGCGCCGGTGCGGTCGCGACCGACGAGAACTACACAACACCATGAAGGATCAGTGGTAAGTCCTTAATTTTATATAACTTACGTTTAGCGATGCGAATGTGCGCGTTCTCGGTAATATGTTGACTTTCCTTGATAATAAAAGAGTCCACATGTATAAAGAGTTCTGTTAAAGAGGGTGCTTGACTTAGTGACATCATTGCTAGATACAGATACTTTAGCGTAACTGTAAACCGTAGATGTCTATCAGAGAATATCTTCAGGATACTCGTGAAAAATTAAGCCCTTAAACTATGCGTAAATAATATCGGTAAAAAATTATAAAAACCATAGCAATGTTTATAATAAATTAGGAACGGCTCCATAAAAGTACCCTTTGCATGTACTCATGGAGAGTGCGCTCGAATTTCCTATAAAAAAGACCCTCCAGTTCTTTACATCCGGGTGAAGCGTTATCAAAAGTTTGAAAGGAAAAGTGGATACAGAAAGACATTGTCTGGTAAATCAGACAGGTCGAGATGGCTCAGACAATGGCGTATAATAAGCAGTGAGTTCCGGCGAGCGCAGACGACTCACGACGTTAAGGGCGCAACTCGTCAGGATATCTATCTGCTTGGTATGCGTGGGGCAGTTGAAGCTCACTTCATGTAAATATGGCGCTCGGATGGTCACATTTCCGAATTGTGAGGAAAAGAAACCTCATTTTTTTATGAAAGTAAAAATAATTTTTTTTTAGTAGCTATAAAAAATAAATATTAGGTAGGTATTGAAACTCTAGCTACTTTAGACATATTGGCTTTGGCTCAAAAAAATTAAGGTCTTATTTCGGACTTATTATTCTAATTAATATATAATGCAGTTGTATAAAAGCGTTTGTTTACATGCTATGCTACCTGTGAATATGAAAAGTTTTATATGCCCCAAAAATAATACAGCTTTTTGGAGAATTAAAATTTCCTGAATAATGTAAAGTAAATAAAAGTTTATTTGGATAGATTCCCTTCTAATCTTGCAGATTGAAAGTACAATGTTGGAATTCAGACTGGCTACAATGTTACGCAGCCTTTTATTTCCCCCGAGATAGCAGGTATCACTGCCTCCCCATGCCATCTACAGACAGAAATCGCCTTTTCCGCCACATACATTACACGGCACGAATCTTCACGATGAATGCATCCACTCCATCCCGGGATCGTTTGATGCCTCCTTAAAAGGGAACTCCTTAGACGGATTAACTGGCATTTTAAGGCGTATTTCCGAGTGCCGGTAATACGGGGACAAAAAGCCCGCGTGTCGTATTAGATTAGTGGCAGTGACAGACGTGCGGACTGTTTTAAGATTAATGGGGTAAGTGACGAGTGGGCAGCGTTGGGCAGAGCTACCGTATTTGATCACAATCTCGATTCTCACGAATTCTTTCGAGTACTTCGCAATTCACACGAATATAATCTTTTCATACGTTCAATATCTCATTATCTAGAGTAGTACAAACTAAATGGCTATAAATAAAATTGACTTGACTGACCGATGCATAGCGCAATTTTGCAACATGATGTTTTACTCGAGCGTTTGTTTTAATCAAAGTTGACCTTATTACTATTACTTACATATTTGACGTAGGTAATATCTTTATTTGGTAATGTTAGTCCCGTTACCACTCGATACCTGGGTTTCTCTACTTTATTCAGAACACCGGGACATTACTAAAGTCAAGTGGGCAGTCCGGGAAGACATCTCGGCTCGTTTATATCGCAGACCGTTACAAATTGCAAAAATCCGACAAATTTTCATTGGCTCCCAGCGGTTGACGACGCCATTTATTTTCGGGACTCGGGAAGATTCATGGAATCTATTCTATTACTTCTTTCGGTGGGGAAGTGATAAGTGGTACCTAGTTTGGAATGACCCTTGAGCCCGATGTTTTTAAATCTCCAGAAGTAAATCTTTTATGGTCTGAGAATAATAATTTGCATAAACTTCTCTATTTTTCTGTCTACACTGCATAATATAAAAGATACATAGTTTTAAAATGGACATGTTTGTGTAATAATAAAATTAATTAATGATAAAAATTGGAAGGATAAAAATATTGATCAACATTGTGCACGTCTTCAACGGCGATAACGATTTTAAAATATAAATACATAGGCTAATTAATAGTCTCATTGTCCGAAGATAATAGATTGTGTTTCAAATCTATGACTGACTCTACATATCAAATAACAGAGGTCACAAAAAGTCGGATGCTTGAGTTATACGTGATGATCACACATAATTATCTCAAAATCTTCACTCAATAAAAAGAGTTTCATTCACAAAACTATCGCCATGGGCGGGACGAGTTACTCAAATCAGGGATTCAGTTAATTACAGCTTAAACAAACGCGCGGTTAGCAGCTTCCTGTGCTCGCATCTAGGCCATGTTTGCGTTAAACTGCAGGTTAAACTCTGGTTATGTAAAGTGATAAATGTTGTAACAGTATGGTAATTGTTTTGCTGACCCTGGTCTTATTTATCTGAAATGTCAATATCACATAATATGAAGGAATTTGTTTTTACTTTTTAAATTGGCATTAATAACTCTGTAGAATGTAAACTGGGTGATATGCTTATACAAATAAGTATACAACCTACGAGATTTTGAAATGTTCTCATTTGCTTATGGGTTTTTCGTATTGCTGGTATGTGTGTGTTGTGTCAAGAGATCAATTTTATGTATTATACTAGCTTTGGTCGCCCGCTACGCGGGCTACAAAAGCTAGTTTTATGTATTATATTTCCGCAGTATGTATACATCTTTCTAAGAATAATTTTCTCATCATTTGCATAGATAGGACTCATGTCCATGAGTATTGTTAGCAATCTTGTATGTTGGATACAGGCAGCAAAAACGAAGTGTAAGCAGAATACCTTCTACTTGAAACAAAGGGTGTCTGGACGCTGATATAGGGTTGTCGACCAACAATTTAATTTATTTTACAAGATAAGATTTCATAAAATTTTCTGGTTACGTGCCCATTTCTTTGTAAGTGGCATACAGTATTTTATGTATGACTGATTTTTGGAATTTCATTTTTAAGATAAGTTTATGTTTTAAAATCGTCTGAGTACATTTTAAAAGTAATAATTTTACTTTTTAATAATAATGTATGTTTGATAAGATACATTTTTTATAAAATTAGCATTAGTAATATATCTAATTTATTGATTAAAAGATGTGGTTCGTAAAATAAATATCAAAAAGAATTTGCGCCCAACGTGGGGCTCGAACCCACGACCCTGAGATTAAGAGTCTCATGCTCTACCGACTGAGCTAGCCGGGCTTGAAGGCATTCGTTGAAATTATCGATATTAATCAATGCGATAGCACTATTAAACATGTGGCTGACGTGGCAGTGTGCCAAGCCAAGTTATTATCAGTTAATTTATAGTAGGTAAACAATCATCAATAATAAATTGACAGACGTTTATTCTTTACAGTTATCTGCACAATATTTTAAAGAGTGAAAAGTAAGTTTTTGTGTACCAGGTTTTACTAGTGTCCAAAACTATAAACTAGACATTTTTAAAATACGAGCATGACTGTTATAAGGAATTAATAAATAATATTAATACAAAGATACTTTTTTTCGTAATAGATTACGAGAAAGCCCGATTTTTTGCATAATTAGGTAAACTTATTTATATCCGCTTACATATGTTTAAACAGCTGATTTTGATGATGTATCCATCATTGTTGCCATCCAATCGGATGGCAACAATATTATATAAATCGCCATTTAGACCACTATACATAATTCAATATCATGAATATTTTTACATCCATTCTCCCACATCCATTCTCTCTTGACAGTGAATCACGTAGTGCTGCAAATTGCCTGAATTAAACATCCATCAGATTTTGGGTCAATGTTGTGTATTTGCCCGTAAATTTTGTAATTAGAATTTGCATTTGTAAATTGCCCTGTGATGGTCGGGCGTGCCTTAATTAGCACCTGGAAGCTTCATCAAAAGTAATTAAGTTGGAGCCTGATTAAATTTACGCCTGTGAATGGGGACCGCGCATTTACATAATAATCTCCAAGTTAGCGCCACGGCTAAGAAGTCTTAAGTAACGGAAAAGTTTGTACTCGTCTTTTTGGATGTCATTCTGCTTAGCTCAACTTGGCTAATCTGTTGGTATTTTTGAAAATCGTTAATAATATTAATTTTGACAGCTGTGCCTGCGACTTCGTACGCGTGAAAAAACCCTTATCAGATGATTTTCTTAAGTTTGTGTTCTATTCTCGACCTGCTGAATATACACACAAAAGGATGATGGGCAAAAATGTATGGAAAGTGGTACCCGCTCCAATAGCCATAACCAATATATATTTTAAAAGGCCTTTACATGTAGGAAAATGTCTGCTATGGGGCCAGTTCTAATTCACGTTTTGAAAGCAGTAATTCCACTAAGTATTATATTGAATGTATAACACAATCATCCATGTATACGAGTATGTATTATGACTACAATCTATTAATATAACTAAAAGAAGCATTGAAAAGGAAAGGATTATACCTACGATGAACTACCCTAGCTATTAGCCCTTTATTCGCTTTCATCATCATCATCATGATCATTTTAGCCATAGGACGTCCAGTTGAATATAGGCCTCCCCCAATGATTTCCACAATGGCCGGTTGGTGGCGGCCTGCATCCAGCGCCTTCCCGCTACCTTTATGAGGTCGTCGGTCCATCTTGTAGGTGGACTTATTGGGTCTTGTGGATTTATTCGCTTTAGCAACCCATAATAAAACCCTTAAGAAGAAATAAAACTTTAACCCCTTTATTAATAAAAGTTACACCCTAGTTGAACTCTGGCTTAAATTGTCATTTGGTATGGAAATGTCATTTTAATCCAAGGTTCTTCCTAGGTGTAACTTTTTATTAATAAGGGAGTAACTTCTTTGAATAAAAATATTTATTTCACAATTGTCCCCATCAATAATTATAGAGTTAAGGAAGGATGCTGGAGCAGTAAACCCTTCCCGCCTCGCATAACCTAAGTACCATACGATGGACACGTA